GTAAAGAAATAATCTTGAAACAGGAAGGGGTTCTAAACGGCACTGTAGATTTGTGGAACCTCTTCTACAGGTGTGGAAAAAATAAAGAATTTAGCTTGGAGGAATGATCACATGTCATTCTTGGTTTTGGACCTGACCCTTTGCCAGTTCTAACCAGGAACCCAACCTGCTCTCATGGTTCCATATAGGAATTCTTGCGAACTGCTATTGCTTGGTTAAATTGTTGTTCTTAGGAACTCTGACAAAGGGTCAGGCCCCAAACCAAGAATGACATGTCATAATTCTTCCAAGCTAAATTCTTTATTGTTTCCACACCTGTAGACAGAATCTTGCCGGACTAAGCACTCTGCTATCCGCATTTACCATATTCTCTGTGAACTGTTAGGATGGGAATGTCTTTGCCCTCTTTCTCACACATATCAAAACATCAGACTGAGTTTTCTCTTATTCCTGTACAATGCACTCCCTCCCTCCTGGGAATCCAGCCTACTTACATTCCGTCACACTCGGCAACTTTTAAGAAGTGTGATCTTGAATTTTCAGAATTCTGGGAATTGAACTCCACACGCCTTAAAGATACCGAGGTTGAGAAACACTTGTCCTAGTGAACAAGCTTTGCTTTGTATTGTGCATGAAATAAGTATATTCATATAATATAATAACTCTGGAATGATTCCCCCACCCACCCTGAGAGTTGTGTGATAGCAATAGCAACAGCACTAAGATTTAGATACCGCCTTACAGTGCTTTACAGCCCTCTCTAAGCAGTTTACAAAGCCAGCCAGTTGCCCCCAACAATCTGGGGCCTCATTTTACCCACCTCGGAAAGACGGAAGGCGAAATCCACCTGGAGCCTGGCAAGATTTGAACTGACAAATTGCAGGCAGCCGGCAGGCAGCAGAGGTAGCCTGCAGTACTGCACTCTAAGCATTGTGCCTCATCCTTGTACTGTTCTAGAAGTCATTGAAGACCCCGTTGTTTCCTGGCTTTAGGGTCCCCATGACCACAAAACCCCTTTCTGTTTTGTTCTATTTTGTTTTGATCCGTTTTGGTTTAGTTTTGGTATCTTGGTCTTTCCTGTCCATCATATGTGCATGTTTCTTTTAGTTGCAATGCTACCCAGAGTTGCTTTGGAGCTGGATGGCCTACGGTGAAATATATAAAGACGTACTGAAATGTCCTTGCCATCAAGTGACACACGTAGACTTGACATTTAGGCAAAACAATTAGGGAAAATACAGTTAGAAAAAGAGACAATGTCAGCGCAGAAACAGATGGAATTTATTAATTTGAATAATCCACATTCAGAAATTATCCATGCTTCCGAGATGTAGACGGATTAGGCAGTGTGGGCCCGATGCCCCTTCATGTCACACATTACGTGTTTAATGAATTTGTTCTTCTCAGCAGCTTTTATCTCCACTTCCTTTCACTCAGATATCATTGGCCTGGGGCTCCCAGCTTCCTCTACATTGACGTCTTTCCACCGCAATCTCCAACTTTTACACTGACTGGCCTGCAGCCAAACACCCCCTATAATGTCTCTGTCAATGCACGCAATGCTCTTGGGGAGAGTGATTTCGCAGATGGGGGTGCGGGGCTGAGCATCACCACAGAAGGTAAGGGACTTCAAGGTAATCCAGATCAGAAACGCGACAATGAATACTAGCACTATCTTTGTTGCAAATTTATTTTGATAAGGTAAAGGTTCTCCCGCACATCCGTGCTAGTCGTTTCCAGCTCTAGGGGGCAGTGCACATCTCCGTTTCTAAGCCGAAGAGCCAGCGCTGTCCAAAGACATCTCCGTGGTCATGTGGCCGGCATGACTAAACACTGAAGGCGCATGGAACGGTGTTACCTTCCCACCAAAGTGGTCCCTATTTTTCTACGTGCTTTCAAACAGCTAGTTGGCAGAAGCTGGGACAAGTAAAGGGAGCTCACTCCATTACGCGGTGCTAGGGATTCGAACTGCTGAACTGCTGACCTTTCTGATAAACAAGCTCAGCGTCTTAGCCACTGAGTCACCGCATCCCTATATTGATAGATCCTTGCAAATCTGAAAAAGGAGGGGAAAGTCCCTTTTGAAACACTTTCCATACCCTCCCTCCTCCTGTGGGCCTAGACATCTCTTGCATGACAGTTGTCTAGTCTGCAGCTCTTCTTCCTGTCTTCCAAGGTCATCCACCTGTACCGTTACAGGAACAAGAGCAGAGCCCAGCAGAAGAGCATGTGGGGCATACTTATATTTTAAGGAGCAAAAAAAAAAGGCAGCGATTGTATAATAGACATAGTGCTGGATATGGACCCTAGAGATCCAGCTCTGAAGCGGAATTGGGTTGAACATTTCATTCGGCTGAGTGTGATTTAGGCACACAAGGAATTTGTCTCCGGTACAGAAGCACTCGGTGCACTAGCAAGGCAACAAAGAAAACAATAACACCAATAAAAAGGGGGAACGTAAAAATAATAATAAAAGGAATAAATAATAAGATTACAGCCACATTCTATGGGTTGCTATATACATACACATTAGACCAGTGTTTCTCAACCTTGGTAACTTGAAGATGTCTGGACTTCAACTCCCAGAATTCCCCAGCCAGCCATCGCTGGGTGGGGGATTTTGGGGGGTTGAGGCCCGACATCTTCCAATTTCCAAGGGTGTGAAACACCGGGTT